GAAACCCCATTTTTGTCATAATTTTCCTGATACTGGCCCACTCGATTCTGTCAAAGACTTTAGACATATACAGCTTTAGTGCCATGTATTTCTTAGGGCCAGTTCTATGCCTATTGAGGAAATGGAACACTTCATGCGCTATAATGACATTATCCAAAAGCTGTCTATCAGATATGAAAGCAGCTTGAGTGTTACTAATGCATAAAGAAAGGCAGGGTTTGAGTCTTTCAGCAAGAATTTTGGAGATAACTTTACACCTCACAAAGACTAATAGGCCTATAATCCCCCACAGTAATTGGTGTTTGGCATTTAGGGATTAATGTAATTAGAGTGAGGTTCCAATTTTTAAGCATATGACCAGAATTAAAGAAAGAGAGAACAGCTTTCCATAAGTCAGCTTTAACAATACTCCAGAAGGATTGAAAAAAGGAAGGTGTCATACCATCCCATCCAGGTGCTTTTTCAGGGTGCATGTGGAACAGAGCATCTTTAATCTCTTCTTCAGTCACCTGAGCAATGAGGTTGGCATTTAATTCATCAGTGATGGTGGTAGGTATGAAGTTGAGGATATTGCCAATGTTAGTGGAGCCCTCAGAAGAGAAGAGATGTTGGTAATGATTTGTTAAGCAAGCAGCTATCTCTTCTCTGGAAGTGCAGACAGTCTGATCATCCTTTACAAGTCTGGAAATAGCATTCAGCTTTCTTCTTTGGAGGGTGAATGCATGGAAGAATTTTGTATTCTTGTCCCCCTCTCTAAGCCACAGTACTCTGAATTTTTGTTTCCAAAAGAGCTCTTCATCTTTATATGCTTCATTAAGCTGTTGCTTGAGGTGGTTCCACCTTTCCCAATTCCTTGTTCCTCCTTGCTCTCTGAGCCCAGTCATCTCAGCATTTAGCTTTTCAATGTTTTTGGCTGAGTTAGTTTTCAGTGCTCTGCTCCAATTCAGCAGGGCTGTCCTCGTAGCTTTTATCTTCTCAGTGAGATTGAACATGGGGGAGTCCTTTTCCGGTTGGTTCCATACTTTTTGTATCTCTTCTTTTATGCCTGAATTCTTCAGCCATCTTCTATCAAGCAGAAATTCCTTTTGTTGTTTGATGGGGTGCCAGTGTGCAGAAGCAGTAAGTTATGGTCTGAAGCGCTTCTGAATATGTTGATGACTTTGGCATTCGGATGATTGTGAAGCCAGTGCAGGGATGCAAACATTATGTCCAATTTCTCCTCAATATATCCCTCATCAATTCTGTTGTTGCCCCAAGTGAAAGGGTATCCTTCCATGTATATTTCTTGGCCTCCCAAATCAGCCAACAATGCTCTAAAGCCCCAAAAACTGGATTCTGGCCTACTTCTTCCCCCATTCTTCTCACCTTGGCATATGATGTCATTCTAATCCCCTGCAATCACCCAATTGCTCCCCAAATTCATTTTAGCTTGACTGAGATAGTGCCACTGCTCACTTCTAGTTTTCCTGCAAGGGCTGAGGTAGACAAAGATAAACCATGATTTTTCAGGCTTGGTGGAAAGGCTGAATTCTATTTCCACACAAAAGGGTTGGCATATGACTTGGTAGATGGTGAATTCATTATTCCAAAAGACCAGCAAACCCCCTCCTTGTTAATAGGGTCAGATTCAATCCATCTATCTTCTACTCCCAAACTTCTGCAGACAGTATTAACAAACTTCTTCGATTTTCTGGTTTCACACAAAAAGGAAAAATTTGGGTGGTAGGATCTCCAAGATTCCTTCAGTTGGGGAACTGTAGAGGGCCTACCCAGACCTCTACAGTTCCACACCATGGTTGTCATTGATCACCTTGGGGCCATTTAAGGCCGGCTTCCTCCACCTGTGCATCCATTAACTTTTGCTTTTTATTTGAGCTGTCTTTAACCTCTGGTTGGGTTGAGGGATTGTAGTCATCTATAGCATCTTGTCTGCTTCTCTTGTTGGTCTCATTAGGTTCATTGGTAGATTGAGAAATGTGGGTCGGGCTGTTTGCTGCAGTTTTGTTTTGTCTCCTTGACCATTTCCTTTTTGAATCTTGCTGATTCTTACTTTTACCTACTAGGACAGACTGCTGCGAAGTGGACTGGGTAAAATCCATTAGGTGCTCATTGCTGTTGGATGCTTCATTGTTGCTGAATTGCAATAGCAGAACTTTGCTAGGTGACAGGTCAGTCTTGACTTGGTTGCCTTGGCTACTCGTGGAGAGCTGGCCTGAGCTGCTAGCAATAAAATCCTTCTCCATGGATTTATCTGGTCCCAAGGCTGGCTTGGGTGAGCTGCTATTACCCATTCCGTTTTGATTGCCCATAGCTGAGTTGCCCAGAGGATTGTTATTATTCTCTTGCATTTGCATTGTTTCTGAGGACTTGCTTGCTTTTGGAGAAAAGGTTCCTTCTGTCGCTTTTAGCCAGTCCCCGTACTGCCCTTCCGATAGAGTTCCATTAGCAATGTCTTCCATTCGAAGGTTGCACGTTCTATCAAGATGTCCGATTTTTTTCCGCAATAGTAACAGAGATTTATCAATTTCTCATATTTGAATTCAATTCTCTTAACAGTATCCCCCAATTTGATGCAGGTACATCTCAGAAGAGGCTCCTTCAGGTCGACAGTAACCAGGAGACAGAGATGTCTAATTTTAAAAGAGTGAAAATTATATAAAAATGAATATAATCATTAATATATAGATTAACAAAAATGTAGAACTCTTTTTTCTTTACATAATTAGTAGAAGTATCAATATAGATTATATAAATATGCCATATTTGGAATCAAATACTCAATACTATCATTATAATATTCACTTGTGGGTTGTCCATTGTTTATATATGGAAAATAAACTTAATTTATAAGTATGTCAATTATTCCTCCTTCCACCAATTAATTTTAGGATGAAACTTTATTTGAGCTTCATCTGGGTTCCACCGAATTTGGTGCGCTTCATTTGCGTGGAACCACACCCGTTTTTTCCCCTCTATTTCTTACAACTATAATATAAGTGATTGTTTTTGTTACTGGATTTGACATTTGAGTTGTGCATACCTTTATTTTTTTAGCTAAAAGAAATTCTTAGGGATCCCAAAAGTAGAAAAATTTTCATTCAAATTACCTCATAAGTATATAACTAAATATGAAATCAATTCAACTCAACAATCCTCATACATTACTCTTCTTTTTTTTTTTTTTTTCAAACATCAAATATCTCATACATTACTCTTCAAACTAATTAGTCTGTGGATATTACCTATGTCTTCATATGTATGGTTCCCAAGCTTACTATATATCTTGGTAATTTCAGGGGTTACATAAATTACTCCTACAACATTAGTCTTCCAAAAACTTTAGGTTGTAACATTATCCATATGCAGAATTTGGTTTTGATTGAAACACAAAATCCCAGAATATCTTTTACCTTCCCACTCCAAAAGAATGAGACCAAGAGATCGAAGCTGAACTGCACAAAATCTCTTTATCTTTCATCTTTTTCAAAATGTGCATAAACTCATCTTCATCTTCTGGTTCATCAATCTCAGTCTTCTCCTCGAAAAATTTCACAACTTGCCTCATTGTTGGCCTTACACTTGCATCCGGATGTGCACACAATAGCCCTACTCGAATCATTTGTTCCACTCTTTCTTCATCGATTTCACTATTAGCCCTAAATCTTGGATCAACCCCACTAACCAATTCCCCTCTCCTCAAGAGCTCCAATAACCAATCAACCAAAAACGGCTTGCCCTCTTCGATCGGCCTCCTACCACAAATGACCTCCAAAATCAACACTCCATAACTAAAAACATCCGTTTGAGTCGATACTTTCCCATTTTTCACAACTTCCGGCGCTAAATACCCAACTGTACCCACCACACGGGTAGGATCATTTCCATTATCACGATTACGGATCCATGCCAGCCCAAAATCACCTAGCCTAGCATTCATTTGCTCGTCGAGCAAAACATTGGAGGCCTTAATATCCCTGTGTAGCACCTTCGATTCCCATCCGTGATGCAAATACGAAACTCCCGAAGCTACTTGCTTCAAAATTCTTATCCTTTCTTCACAACTCAACATCTTGCTATCGTCACACTCGAACACCCTCTTGTCGAGACTTCCGTTTTCCATATAGTCATACACCACAAAAATCGTATCCTTTTCCTTCTTGCACCAACCTTTCAACCCCACTAAATGCCGGTGCTTTAGTCTCCCGAGGCTCGATACCTCTGCCGAGAATGCCTTTACACTTTCACTATTATCGCGTGATAAGCATTTCATGGCGACTACTGAGCCTCCGGGAAATAGTCCTTTGTACACTTTCCCGTTCCCACCAATACCAATCACGTTCTCTTCCGCAAAGTTCTTTGTTGCTGATTCGATTTCTCGATAACTGATTCTATGCGGCCAATACTCCAATTCCCAGTACT